TCAGAAAAACTAGGCTTGTATACCATGTCACAATAGATCACTTTCCTTTATATCTTTAGTGTTGATTCATTTTTTTTTTTAGAGATTTTTATTTATTTTTATACAAGAACTGGGGTACAGGCCAGAGGTGCAGGAGGGTGAGAGGATTCACCAGCGACAGAGCGGGGAACAAAACAGGCAGATTGACTGAAATACACTGCTGAGGGGAGCAGCAGGCAAGACAGGAGAGGTCTGCTGCACTATGTGGGTCTCTCCCTGTCCAGCCAGGAATCGAACCCGCACTACAGAGGCTGCAAACAGCTTCGCAGTGCTGAGCTCAACCCACTTTGTCACTGGGGAGGCCCCGTTTTAAACTAAAGTGAAAACTGGCCCTTTTCAGGGTCTATATATTTTTCTTCCTTGACTTTCTCATCAATAAATTTATAACAATTCCTTTTCCATCAACTTTTTATCATGAATTGGCAGTTTGTAAAAACTACCAAGTGGGTTGCAATTGTAAATGACTATTCAAATGCCAAGACATAATTCAGTCATGCTAATCTTTCACTTGCAAATTTTGTTATTTGTTGCAGGAGAGGAAATATGCAGTCATATGAGACCCTTTCTCAATTATGTATTTAGGCATCCCAGGAGAGTACATTGGATAGGAACCAATATCTATTTCTGCATGTACTTTCTGAGATTATCTTAGGCACAAAGAACTGTGTTAGGGACTGAGGACACAAAGTGAAAATGATTCCTCAAATTAATCATCCAGAACATAGTTCCTCTCTGAAATACAGGCCAAGCATTGACCTTTAATTTCTTGATCCATAAAAAATTACAATTTTCATAAGTGTACAAAAGTATCTTGTGATTTCTGCAATAATCTTGTTGATAACTTAGGTATATAGCTCTGATGAGAATTTCTAAAAATTCCTAGCTAAGCTAAAATTTAACTATAAAATAATAAAAAACATAGCAGTAAAAGCTGCATTGGGCAAATTCATGATAATTAACCCCTGGAGCATTATTCCAAACATTATCTGCCTACACACACACAAAAAAAAAACAAAGAAATATTTTGCCAAGAGAAGAGGAGGCTTGGAAGTAGACGGAAACACAGACCCTAATCTGGATGGTATTTTTGTCCAATTAATGTACATCTCCTGTGGTGGGAACTTCACTAATTCTTCTTGTTAAAATGGTGGTCTATATCTTGCCATAAGATGATAAGTAGGAGAGTTTTAGAAAAGTGAATACCAGAGGGTTATAGAATCCTGTCAAGCAGGGAGAGAACCTGGGGAAATTATTGAAGGCCTGACAATCTATGCAGAAATTGAAGAAAATAGTGTAGGGAGAGGCAGCAGAAGATAAACAATGGACAAATGGGGATAAGGAGAGAGAAGTAAGAAAAGTGAAATTAGCCGGAAAGATGTATAAAGGGAATGAGAGTGAAAAAAGGGGAGTAAGAAAAGGGGAGTAAGTCAGGGGGTAAGAAAAGGAAAGATGTTTAACATTAGAAGACAGAGACATCAATGAGAGAAACAGAGAATACTCACAATACTCCCAGTGTTTGAGTCTGGATCAAATGTCTTCTGTTGTCACAGCCCATTAATCATAGACAGCACCAGTCTTGGGCCTGTTGAGAAGGGAACAATTCTCAGTCCTGAGCAAGAAGACTGCTCTTAGCTGTATATGAGCCAAGAAGAAAAGCTTGATTGTATAGTAGTCCAGGAAATCCTGCTGCCATCTCAGTTTTGACTCATGGCTTCATTTGGAAAGCTTAAGGAATGGGATAGAGTCCTCTAGACAGTGGGGTGGAGGTGGAGAGGGCCATGGCTGAATGGAACTTCTTGGCTCCTCATCAGGTGGAAAACCAGCCCCAGGCAGAGGAGAGGGTAAACTTCAGCTTCTGTGACCACCTAACATAGCAAAACAAAACATGCTTCAGCCTCCTACTTTGAAAACAGGGGTGGATGGGGCCTCCTTGGTTGCACAAGGGGTTAAGACCTCTCCTGACTTGCCTGCTGCTCCCCTCAGCAGTGTATTTCAGTCAATCTGCCTGTTCTGCTCCCCACTCTGTCTCTGGTGAATCCTCTCACCCCCTGCACCGCTGGCTCATACCCCAGTTCTTGTATACATAAATAAATAAATCTGTAAAAAAAGAAAAGAAAAGAAAAGAAAACAGGGTAGAGTGAGTGTACTGGGCAGGCCAGCCGAATGGAAGAGTGAACAGACACAAGGGGGTCCTACTGACTGCCTAGGCTCTTCCATGATTAACTTTCATCTTCCAATGAAAACTTTGCCTAAAAAGCATCGCATATTATCATCAGGCTATAGCTCATATTTTCAGTGTCTCTAAAATAGTGTTACCAGCAGGGTCAGCTGGTGAGGGTGAAAAAGGTGCCCTTAATTTCTCAGCACTTACTTATTTGATGTGGCTCCTATTAATACTATTTTAGACAGTATTAATAGAACAAAGTGAGTGTTTGGCACATTGGTTGCTTGTGATATAATGAATCTGATAATGGGCCACACTTTGCATATTGTTGTGACTGCATTTATGAGCGAATTGACATCCTTTTTAGTATTGATTCATCCCCTCTCTAGACAAAGTACATCTTTCCATGCAGGCAGAGCTTCTTTAATATCTTTCAGGAATTATATAATTATTTTAAGAGGGTCTTGTACAACACTGTTAGATTTATTCCTATCTTAAATTTTTGTTGTTATTGTATTACAATTTCAAAATTAATTTTTCTTAGCAGATAATGCAAAGTCAAATGATTGCTGTTAAGATAATAATCGTTTGTCCTACAGCCTTCCTAGACTCCCTTAGTCTAAATTTCTGCACATTCCCTTGCATTCTCTATGTAGATAATCATATCATCTTTAAATATTAATAGGCTTGCTCTTCTTTTAATGTCTCTTTCTCTTCCCATCTCATCTTATTGTGCTGGATGAGACTTCCAGTTTCAATACTCCATGTTTTAAAGAAATCCTTTAAATATGATCATTACAGGTTTTTTGAAAGACACTCCTTATCAGAATGATAAAATAAATCATTCCTGGATTGCTAAGACTATTTCTCAAATCAGAAGCTAAATTTTATCCATTTTCTCTGCACTTAATAATATAATCATCAAATTCTTACTCTTTTAATCTGCTAATATGGTAAAATGGGTTTAAATAGATACATTTCTAGATTTTTACTTTATTTAAAAGTCTGCATTTATGAATGATGAAGGATAAAGATGTATGATTTTTCTTCTATTATCCTCTAGGTAAAGGATCAAGTTCTATAACATAGCTTTGGGGAGATTTCTCTCTTTCAGTGTTCCTAGAAATAGCTGAAAGTGACAGGGATGATCTGATTCATGAATGTTTGGTAGAAACTCATATAATAGTCTTGGCAGTGCTGGGTCTTCCTGTGTGTGTGTGTGTGTGTGTGTGTGTGTGTGTGTGTGTGTTGAAGGGTGTATTATTCAGGTGCATTACTTTTTTCATGAATCAGTTTTGGTGAGTCACAGTTTTGTTCAAGGAGGAATTACTAACTTATTCAAATATGTAGATTAAGCAAAATTATTGATAGTATTTTCTTATTATTTTCTATCCAGGCTGTACCTGTAGATATGCCTCACCTTATTTTTGCTTCCAACATTGCTTTTCCTTTCTTTTCTCTTTGTTTTTCTTTAGAAACTCAGCAAAGATCTATTTTATTAATATTTCAAAAAATTAGTTATAGACTTAGTTTCTCTCTTAGGTATTAGATATATTTTAGATGCTTTTTGCTTTTTTTTTCTGCTCACTTTTTCTTTGAGTTCTCTCTACTATATTTTTTCTAATGTCCTGGGTGCCATGTAGCTAATATTTACTCTAATATACAATTAAAACTAAGGTTTTCTTTCATAACTGTTTTCCTTGGTTGCTTCCCACAAATTTTGATAGGTAATTTTTTATGTACTCTAAATATTTAGTAAATGCAACATATATTCTAAGTATTATCTAATTTGCATCCTAATTCCCATTAATTTCCAAACGTGTAGGATTTTTTTCAGAAGGCGTAGCCACTTGGCGCATGTCATGATTTTCAATTTGGATGAGACTGAACTGCTGATTATAGTTTTTGTTTGGGTTTAGTCCCAACATGATATATCTGTTACATTTCTGAAAGGAAAGAGAAGAAACCTGTATCCTTTTGGAGGAAGTGTTGGAGAACTGAGGATGTGAAGTTACCTGGAAATAATCCCTCTTTAGATCACCTCCCACACATACTCTCCCCCTTTCACTACTCACGCTGGCCGGGACACTTGGAGTGCATTTAGCACACTAGCTTTAGGGAAGTAAAAGCTCTAGGATCATCCTTACCCAGATGAAGTCACCTGGACTGTACTTTTTATTTTCAGTTTGTGAGCAGTTGTTGTCCACGGGACAGAAATGGACATAACTTCATTGGTAGGCACTGAAGGGCTGAAGATCTTAAAGAAGAAGTACATGGTTTTGAGAAATACAAAAGCCCATCTATAGTTCCCATCTCGAAAAGGAAACACTCATTAGTCACCACATTGGGCAGGAATTTGAAAGAAATTGTCAATGTTTTCTGTTTGTTTTGCATTTAGTGCTGAAAATAATTTTAGAGATCAGCCAAAGCACTTTCTTGTTTAACAATTGAGGAAACTGAGTCTGAGAAAGGTTTAGAATTTTGTCTTTAATCATACCCGTTGCTCCTGGAAAAGCAAGAAATGGAATCTGGTGTTTTGCCTCCTTTACCACATTGCCTTTTGTAAAGCTTCTGAGTAAAGATGTGAAGATTTCTTTTTTCCACAGCTCAACATTTAGCTTGTAAATATCCTGATGAGCTACAAAACTTGGCAGAGTTGTGGATCCTGCAAAAGAGTAGGAGGTGGGAATTTTCCATACTTCTTGGATTATCAAAGACTGAAATTAATGACATATGCTATTGCTAGAGATCCTCATATCCTGGCAATGTGATGTTAAATGTTTCCATTTTTTCTTAGAACATGAAGCAAGCTTCTTTACTCAATAGGAGCAAAATATCAGATATGGTGTGAGATCAACACATGTGCCCTCAACAGCCAGTGCAGATGAGACTGAAGACTGTGAAAAGAACACCCGACAATGACAAAATTCAACGAAATCTGTAAGTCAAAGTGTGTGCTGTTAGAAGCAAAGGAAACATGAAGCCTAATTACTCTTAACCATACAAGAATATCTTTTTAGACATGATAAAAGTTTGTAGGATCTTCTGCTCTAACTATTCTGCTATGACTCTTTCACTGGACTATAACTGGCCTGTGTTGGTGAGAAGAAGAGAGACTTTTCTCTCTTCTGAGGTCAAGCAGAGGGTGAGATGTATCAGCCCTTATACATCAGCTAAGACCATTCAGGAGCCACAAACAAATGACATGCCACTAGCAAGCTATACATTAGAGAAATAATTTAGTTAGAATTAAATTTTGAAGCACTCACCTTGGATGAAGTGTGGATAATTAATTAGTGTAGGAAAGAATAAAGGCAGGAAAGTGAGTTGGGAAGATTAAAGTCTCTAAAATAAAAAGACTATAAGTGTTGGAACTGAGGTATAAGAGTGAGGATGGATGGCTAAGACAGATTTGGAACTTGCTAACGAAGTAAGTGCTTGAACATGGGAGCTAAGAGAAGCAGGAGAGTCCAAGGAACCCGAATCGGGCTCGAGGTTACTTGGTGGATATGGACATGCATTCAGCAAGCTAAGGAAGCTGGTAGGAGCATGTTTTGAAGGGAAAATAAGGATTTATTTTCAGACATGCTGAGTTTTACCTACTTTGATTTGCACTGATGGGGAAGAAAAGAAAACAGCCTGGAGGCTAGTATTTGAGTGTGACAAACACTTATGTGGGATGCAGGGAGGAAAGGATGTGTTTTCCAATGAGAGTGTGCAGAGGGAGGAGAGCAAAGGACCTGGGCTGGAGCTCTTGTGGACAGTAGCACTGAATGGGAAGGCAAAGAAATGAAATCTATGGTACAAAGGGAAATGAAAACATCAGAGGTAAGGAGAGAAACTGAGAGGGCAGTGTTCTAGAAAGCAAATAAGGAGAGAGTTTTCAGAAACAGTAATATTAGATACCTCAGAGAAGTCAAGCAAAATGAGTACTGAAGACTGAAGCTGGACTAAGGAAGCAGAGGAAGTATTCCCATGAAGGTGTGCTGAGGGAGGTAGTGAGAATAATTGTGAGAAAAATATACTCTCATGATGAGCTGAAAGGACAAAGAAATAGATTATCAGGGAACTCTGGACAGATGTGCAAAATGCAAATTTGTAGTGGCAACTGGCATAAAAGATAGGGGGTTAGGGGGGAAAGAGAGAGAGAATCTTTTATCTTTGTCTCATGCACAAAGTTGGAATACTATTTTCTTCAGATAAAGTACATCTTTCCCACGAACGGGGATGAATAAACACTACCAAATTATATGACCAATTCTTTGTTTTTTTTTTTTTTAATTTTTAAAGGTTTTTTTTTTTTACTTTCTATATATTTTCTTAAATCATTATTAATTTTTGGACGGTATGTCATTCTCCCGCCAACATAGCACCTGTCCAATTACTAGTATTAGTTACCCAGATCACTATTATCTTATGCCAAATATGTCAAAATATAATAGTTATATTGCTTAAACTGAGAAACATGGTTATCTTATTATCAACTCAGTTACAAACCATTTCCCACTCTGGGTTACTCCACGCACAACAAAGTTAGCCAGTTAATTGTTGCTCGTCTACAGTCAGTTTCATAGAGTGATCTTTCCCTAACTTTGACATCAAACCTTGGGAATGTACCCTATCTAGAGCCTCTGACCAGTCTGTCTGCATGGGACTCTCTGCAGGAAGAGGATGGAATGGAGCAGGGAAGGCAGCTAGAGCTACACGCACCATCGTATCACATGTAGGGAGGTGGAGTGGAGTCTCTCTTTCCTTTCATAGATATCCGCTTCACCCTTTTCTACTGTTTTTAATCTCTAACTTCTGCTTTATTCTCCCCCTTTCAAAATAATCCCCCCCCCCTTATTTTCCACTACCCCTCTCTTTCAATTACATGTCTGCCTACCTGTTATACTTTGTGTTGCAAAAGGATAGCTGGGCCTGCAGCTGATTTCCTGGAATCATGATGAAGGCTTTTCTCCAATGATCTCATTGAAATTTACTCACAATGAGAACGTAACTTCTTGCCATTTTATGTAAGTTGGGAATGTACAGCCTCCAGCCTCCCTTTTGTGGCTCTGCTCAGACAGGACCCCCATCCATGACCCTCTCGTGATTACTCATCCTTTCATTCAAGGAGTTTCCACCACTTGAAGCACACAAAGATAATTGTGTAGACACAGAATTGCTATGCGAGGGTCTCTTGATGCTCATTACATAAAAAAAGTAGGTTTATTATGATGGAGTTAACTATCTAGTCATGAAAAAAGATTGAGTCTTGGCTTATATTTTCTGGCATATAGTACACACTCAATAGATATTTGTAAGATGAGTGGATAAAAATGATTTGGGTCCATTGCTATTAGAAATATTAACTATGCTTGTCAAAGCTATTTTATAGAACATGTCTGGTCTCTTAAAGAAAGCTGTAGACTCTAAGGGATTATTTATTGCCTTTAGTTCATAGTAATTCATTTGAGAAATGTTGACGGAATTAATGCCTTAAAACTTGTATATGGCTCAGGGAATTTCCGCAGTCTTTTACCCAAATAGAGGCGTAGTCTGGAATTTCAGTTAATTACACTGAGTCCTCAGCTGTGGCTCCCCTCTTACCTCTCACACACAACCCCAAAGTCACATAAACTCATCATTTATCCCCAGGACACAACTTAGTGTGTGTTTGTTTATGAATTGATCTGTAGTAAGCCCACAGGAGCTCAGCAGTATAAAATTTGAAATAAATAATACCCATGGTCAAGAGTTGTCCACAAAATGAACTTCACCCCACTATTTTCATAAACCTCCAACCCCCACCTGCTGACTGCAAATCTCTTTCAGCTTCAAGAGAACAGATGTTCTTCACCCTGTGTACTCAAAACCCCCACTCGGAGGCCCAGGAAAGTGAAAAAGAACATACTTAAGTGTCCGCTGCCAAGGGCGCTCCACCAAGATCCAGAAGCCTGGGAATTCTACCCTGGGGAAAGAAAGCAGGAGTATCCCAGCCAGATTCACCTCCCACCATGGGAGGTTGTTTTTAATTGTTCTTTGAAGAGCCCTTCCAAGTTGTTTAAAGTCTTGTCCGCCCACTCTGGGCAGGTCTTGCTGGACTCCTGGAGCAGTTGTGGTTTCTTCCCTGCTTGCCATCATGGGCACTGAAGAGGCAGAGCCTCTATTTTCCACTCTCTCTTCCTGAGACAGTACCCAGTTGACTACTGATGCAGTGGTGACAGCTGAGAGCTTTTCCATGGCAAACTGTTCTCTACGACTCACTTATCGTTTTTAAAATATCCCTGGTGAATTTGTATAAATGATGTTCTTTCCTTTTCATTTATTAGTGGTGAGCTTTCTTTAAACAGTCTTTGAGTCAGCATGTCCATTTAAGTTGATAAAATATCATCCAAAGGAACTATTCTGACTCAAGCGGTGATGGAACCAGAAAGCCATCTTGTTCTCCCTTTTACTTAAATTCAATCATAGTTCAAAAGTTGGAACTTGTTAGTGCTGTAGTCAGAGTTAGTATATATTGACTCATTCGATCACACAAAAATACTACCAGACCATCACTTCTGCTGATTCTACAGAAAGGAAAACTGCAGTTCATGGGATCACAGTTTTTTGTCTGCAAATCTATCTCCTGGGATTTGTCTATTCAGATCCAAGGTCTTTACCACCATGCTCTATACCTCCCCAAATTCTAAAGTACATTATAGTAGACTCCCACAGGATCATCACCAATGCAAATATATTCCATGTATTTAACAATCAGTTGAGCTTTTTAATTTATTTTAGAATTACTTGATTCAATATCTGAGAATATACTTTGAGAAGCAAAGGTCCTTCTTTTATACATGATTATATATGTGTGTGTATATACATACACGTCTGTACATTAGTATACATAAATGTACTTATATATGAAAAACTATAAATATTTATTTCCTAAAATTCCCTCTCTAAAATATTCTCAGTCTAAAACTGACATACCTCAAGAAGACTTCCTAAATTAATTTTACCCAATTTCTGAATGTAATAGAGATCAAGTAGTTTGTAGTCTACTCTTTATTCAACCTAACCCTTAGTGGTAGTAGACAGTTTAGTACTTTTTTTTTCTAAAAACTCTTTTATTACCAGGTGAGTTTTGTTTATGTAAATTGTCATTGTAGATAAAAATTGGTTTATTTTGAAATAATTTTAAGCTAACAAAAAGAGGCAAAAACAATATGCAAAGTTCCTGTATACGTTTCTCACAGCTTTCCCAAATCTTACATAACCACAGCACAATTAAATCAGGAAATTAATATTGACAATGATACTATTAACTAACCAATAGCTCTTTATCCATTTTCACCAACTATCTCACACCTGCCCTTTTTCAGCTCCACATTCCCAAATTTCATTTAGTTGTCATGGTTCCTTCATTCCTATAATCTGGAACAGTTCTTCAGTCTTTTTTTTCTTTCTTTCTCATCTTGTCTATGTCTGGACACTTGAATAGTACTGGCCAGTTTGGTAGAAAAGCCCTCAATTTGAATGTTTTTCATATTTTCTCATAACCAGTTAGTATTTTTGGAAAGATACCACAGAGGTGATATTGCCCTTCTCAATGCCTAGTACCAGAAGGTAAATGATATTGATATGTCTCATTACTTGGTGATGTTAATCTCCATTACTTGGTTAAAGTGGTGTCTGCCATACTGTCAATAGTAAAGTTACTATTTCCCCCTTTGTAATTAAAGAGTATCTATAAGTTTAAACCCACTTATGTTCACTTATAGCTTTATAAATTAATTTCTGGATACCAGTGCCCTCATCTATTAAATGGGCTCTACATGTTCATGAGCGTTGCTATGAGGCATCAATAACATAATGTATGTGAAAATGTTTTAGCAGTTATGAAGAGGAGTAAAAATGCAGCAAACTAAAATACTGACACAGCTATATAATGCGGAACCACAGGTTGA